CGCCAGATGAAATGGCACCATCTTTAAAACATTTTAAATTGGCTCTAGGGGTGAAATTATCAACAGGTTGTTGTTGTCCATCATTCAGCGTATTCGGAGTCTTGAACACGTTCATGTAGTGGCCAGGATTTCCTGGATCAGGGTAATATGCTGGAACCTTACAGTATGTCGCCCCCACCCAACGTATATCTCCCAGCATTTGTTGCAAATGTCTTTGCATGCCTGTCAAAAATGCATGCAAAAGTGCCAGTATGCAATTTCCATCCCGTTTGTACGAAATATCCCATAAACATAGAACATATCATTCTTGCAAATCGTATATGCTTTTTTGTTTTTGGAACTGCTACTTTTTGGCGCGTAAATTACTTCACAAACCTGGCGCCAAAAAATTTAAAATAAGCTATAGGTGATTTCATGTATCCATTTAGAAGAGCAGACTAAGGATATCTTAAAACTGAAATCGGTTTCGAATACAACCATCAGGGACGTAGCAACATAACAAATGGCTTTATTTGTTAAATTGACATAACAAATTGGCTTTATTTGGCTTTTAAACCTAAAGAAAACCCAAATTATGATTTTTGAAAAAAGGAAAACAAAAAAAGCGAAGCCAATTTTCACACTAGGAAATGAAAAGATATCTGTTGTACAGGAATACTGTTACCTAGACGTAAAGCTTAATCACAATGGTAATTTTTCCTTGGCTATCAAACAGCTGAGTGAAAAAGCCCTGCATGCGCTCTATAGCATCAGAAGACGGCTCAACCTACACCAACTTAACCCCAAATCTGCTATTAAAATTTTCGACAGCATAATTTGCCCCATTCTTCTGTACAATGCAGAAGTTTGGGGTATATATATCAAAAACGATTTTATCAATTGGGATAAACTGCCGGTTGAAAAAGTACACTTAAAATTCTGTAAGCTCTACCTAGGCGTTGGCAGAAAGACGAGTAATATCGCCTCAAGAAGCGAACTTGGAAAATATCCATTAATTATCAATGTATTCAAAAGAATCTTCAAGTACGTCACTCATCTTAATTCACTTCCTGAAACAACCATTTCAAAACAAGCTTTCCTCATATCAAAAGATTTATTTATTAAACTAAAGAGCAATTCTTTCTATGGAAAAGCAATGGATATAGTGAAAACCTTGAATTGTAATAGAGCAATCCCTGACCTAGATTCACTTACAACCAATCTAGTTGAATCATGCGTTAAAAATACTAAAGAAAACTACCAGAGATTCTGGAGACATAAACTTGAAAACTCATCCAAACTTACCTTCTACACAAGCATAAAGGAAGACTATGAGCTTGAAACTTATTTGACTACCATAACTAATTCAAACCAAAGAAAACGTTTAACACAGCTCCGACTAAGTAACCATAAACTAATGATTGAACTCGGTAGATACGAAAACATTCCGCGAGAAGACCGAATATGCAAGGTCTGCCAGGCAGGAGAAATTGAAACGGAACATCACTTCCTAACATCCTGTGAAGCCTATAGTAGTCTCTGAGAAAACTTTTTAAATGACTTGGAAAGTGATCCCACCAATGAAACAGATTTAAACGAACACAGTTTATCAGTTGAGATAATGAAATCAACTGATAAAGAAACCGTGATAAAATTATCAAAATTTATCTCTTTATGTTTTGAGAAGAGATCTAAATGCCTTGAAGCTCGGAATGCTGATAGTCAATAGGCTATCGAACTAACTCCCAAACTTCTTCAATTACATATACTGTATACTGTAAATAGAGTATTCATTTGTTAACTATGCCTTTCTTTATATCAATAACTTCATTTTTATTTCTTGTATTACTCACAGTGTCATATTACCACAGAACATTTTGCATTTGTAACTATTTATAATTAACTAATAAGCTTTAGCAATACTTGTATGTGAAGTCATGCTAATAAAGCTATTTGTTATGTTATGTTATATGTGTAATAATTATAATAAAGCTTTTTGTGATTGATTGGCACTCTCATACTAAGTTTTGGGAGAAAAGGGGGGTCTGGGGGTCCTCCCCCAGAAAATTTTTACATATTTGAAGCTCTAGGACTGAATTTCTGGCGTTTTCTAAAGCAAATTTCGCAAACAAATTGCATGTAAATTAACTGTATTTTACAAAAATGGTTATCATTTCACAAAAATAATTACTTTATTATGCAAATTTTACCTGAAAATGTAAAAATTTTAACTTTAATTTGCTGGGGTCAAACCTTT